ATGTAAACACATGAACTTAGCCTAGATATAACTAAGCATATATGTTTGACACACCCCCATAGGCGAAGTGGGGGATAGCCAGAACAAGTAATGGTCACAAGACCAGTCAAGAAAAGCAAAGCAAGCTCAGGGTGGATCACAAAGTCACCACACAGTCCGAACACAAGCAAAGGGCCACAAGGCCAGTTCACATGCAGAGTTATATACAGAGAACAAACAATACAGTGATCATACCCTAACAAGTGCAAGCATGCAGGTATATAGATAGATCACAGTACAGGCAGAGTCAGGCAGTAAGTAAGTGAGGCAAAGTAGGCACAAGGCCTAACACAGTAACAAAGCGCTGATGGTCACCAGGCGGAAGTGCCTTGTTGGCCCGAGTGGCCACGTACGCTAGACAAAGCTGACCACGCTGCTGTAACTCTCGAGCAAGGAAGTATGGCAGAGCGATGTGCTTCGTTCTGTGCTCTAGTCTGTGCTCCTGACACAAGGCTATCATGACCTAGTTGTCTACGTACAGGACTGGAGGCAAACGAGGCTGCTCTCCCAAGTCGGTCAGCAAGTAGGTGAGCCAGCGTAGCTCCTGAGCAGCCATGGCTCCGGCGTAGATCTCAGCCTCACAGCTGGAGCTGAGAACTGAAGACGAGCGGGTAGACCGCCAAGAAACCGAGCCGGACCCAAGGCTGAAGGTGTAACCCTGCGACGACCGCTGCGTAGCTGAGTCGTCAACCCAGGAGGCGTCTGCGTGACCAGTGAGGACAACTGGACCCCGTCCTCCAAGCACAAGCCCCATGCCCGACGTACTGCACAGGTAACGCAGTACCCTCTTCGCAGCATCCCAGTGCACCTTTCGGTGCCTACCGGGAGCCACGTAGCGAGCCAGAAGGCTGAGAGGGTACGCGAGGTCAGGTCGTGTGCAAGTCATCAGGTACATGAGGCAACCCACAAGCTCTGGGTACGGACCACTCGGCTCTACGGACTCGTCCGAAGGTGGAGCTGAGAGCGAGTGGCTGGTAGACAGAGGAGTGAGCTGTGGCGAGGAGTACTGGAAGCCGAAGCGCTGAAGGACCTGGTGCACCATGTGTGACTGAGTCAGTGTGATGGTGCGCCGTGCTCTGTCCCGGGTGATCTGCATGCCAAGGTAGCTGCGCAGTTCACCCAGGTCAGTGCAGGTATGTCTCTTCTGCAGCTCGGACTTCACTAGGGTCAGTGCCTCAGTGTCAGCCGTGGCAAAGACGAGGTCGTTGACGTACACTGGGACGTAGAAGGGCGGCAGCGAGGTGTCGGTGCGTAGAAACAACGACGGGTCTGCTGTAGAAGGAACAAACCCAAGAGCCGCAAGTGTAGTCCTGAGTGTGTCGTGCCACTCGCGAGGCGCCTGGCGGAGACCGAAGACTGGCCGGCGGAGGCTCCACTGGGTACCTGTAGGAAGCGACCCAGTGAAACCAGGTGGTCGGCGCAGCCAGATCTCCTCGTGCAGGCTGCCCTGCAGGAAGGCAGTACTGAAGTCCAGGGAGTGGAACTCGTAGTCACGCTGAGCAGCTACGTGCAGCAACACCCGAAGAGTAGTCATCTTCGGGGTGGGGGAGAAGGTCTGGAAGTAGTCAACTCCCTGTCGCTGACTGAAACCTCGAGCAACGTAACGCGCCTTCAAGGCAGGCGGAGAACCCGGCGGCCGCTTCACCCTGAAGATCCACATGCCATCGACTATGTTCACCCCAGGTGGGGGAACCTTGTCGACGTAAGTGCCTGTTGACTTCCAGGATGCCATCTCGGCATCCATAGCTGCCTGCCACTGAGAGGAGTAAGGACCCGTAATCGCCTCTGCGTAAGAGCGCGGGGTCGGGATGTCAGGAGCATCCGGGTCTCCCTCAGGGGCAAGCAGCAAGGAGGCGAAACGAGGTACAGCAGCTGCAAGACACTCAAAGTCCTCCTGCCTGTCCTCAAGGACGTCCGAGCCAAGAGCACACTCACCCCCGACGGACGGAGGGCTGGCAGGCACCAAGACGGGACACCAAGAACCTGCTCAAGCAGGGGAACGAAGTACGGGCGCGGCCGCACAGTGCCTCCAGTACCTCCAGCACCAGGGTCAACAGCTCCAGCTCCTGCAGCTCCAGCGCCTCCTGCGCCAGGGCCTCCAACTCCAGCTACTCCAGCTCCAGCGCCTCCAGCGCCAGCTGCTCCAGGCTCCGTAGGGTCCCCAACTCCAGTAGTAACAGCAGCACCTCCAGCTCCAGCGCCTCTAGGCTCGCCAGCTCCGGGAGCCACACTCCCTTGGTGTGCGCGCTGAACAAGCCACTCACGCAGCTGCTGCGAGGACAGTCGCGGTGAAGCCCCAGTAGGACCTCCAGACGAAGCAGCACCCCGAGGATCAGCACCCCTAGACTCCGCACCCTCCGTCTCAGCACCCTCAGGCTCCGCACCCTCCGACTCAGCACCCCCAGGCTCAACACCCTCAGGCTCAGCACCCCCAGACCCAGCACCCTCAAACCCCGCACCCCCGGGCTCCGCACCCCCAGACGCAGCACCCCCAGACGCAGCACCTGGAGCAGCACCTGAGACGACAGCTACCTGAACAGGCGCAGTTCCAAGGAGAGGGTCTACCTGAGACACTCCTGAGGGAGCAGGACCCTGGGGCGGGAGGGGGTCTACCGGAGGCCGACCGGGAGCAAGGAAGAGCGGCGGGGGCGGGGAAGGGGCAGAGCGGTAGGGGAAGAGACGGTAGAAGGGAACCGACTCGTCGAACGAGACGTCCTGAGAAGGGAGGACACGGCGCGAGGTGGGGTGGTAAAACTGCCAGCCAGGCGCGTCAGGGACAAAGCCAAGGAAGACGCAGGGAATAGCGCGGGCGGAGAGCTTTTCCGCGGACGTATCGCGAACAAAGGCACGAGAACCCCAGACCCGGAACACCGACGCATCGCTAACCTTCCCCGTCCAACGCAATGTGGGCAAGGTCTCCGGCAAGGAGACACGGGGCCAAAGGTTGAGCTGATGCGCAGCGTACCGGACTGCAAACGGCCACAGAAAATGGGGAGCGGCCGCATGAATCATGGAGGTACGAGCGACCTCCATGACTAAGCCAATGCGGCGCTCAGCAATCCCATTTTGCTGAGGGGAGTCTGGAAGCGTGAACGACTAGGTGATGCCCTCCCCACGACAAAAGTCCTGCAAGAGGTCGGAGGAGAACTCATCACCTCTGTTAGAGTGCAGATGCAGGACAGGAAGGTCCTGGCCGAAACGCGCACGCAGCTGGAGACGGACTGTGCGGATCCAAGGGATCAAGACAGCAGAGACTTCACCCTTGCTGCGCAAGGGGAAGACTGTGGTGTATCGCGTGTAGTCGTCAACTACCAGCAGAAAGTAGCGCTCGCGGCCCTGTCCACTGACGCAGGCTGGGCCCCACACGTCCATGTGGAGGGTCTGCAGGGGAGCAGTCGTCGGGGGAAACGAGGAGGAGTGAGGAGTGGCGCGCTGCCGTCCCTCGACGCAAGGAAGACAGGGCGGGGCAGGCGAGGGCGGCTGGGAAGGCAGAGACCTGGGGAGACCAGAGACAAGGAGACGGGAGTGCATGCCACGAAGGCGTGGCAGGGAGGGGTGACCAAGGCGGTGGTGCCAAAGAAGAGTCTGGTGCGACAGGAGGCGACACGAGCAAGGGGCGGCTACCTGACCTGACGCGGACACCTGAGCAGACGCAGCTACCTGAGGAGGCTCGATAACCAGTGTGTACAGACTCGACCCTGGCCGACGAGTGAACGTAGCCAAGTGACGCCCCGTCCGCGTGCACGTCCAGATCGACACACGCTGACCCCCAGGAGTGGTGGTAGTGACCATCGCATCCTGAAGAGCAGCGGTACTCACCAAGTTCGTAGAGAACGAGGGGAGGTGAAGACCTGACAGTGAGCCAGACGGAACCGCCGGACACGGGAGGACAGTGGAGGAACTGGCAACGACCGGGCCCCCAGAGGGATCAGCCAGTCTGACCGGAACAGGTGCAGGAAGAGGAGTGAGAGTGGTGCTGTCACGAAAGAAACAGCGCGAGGCGCCGGAGTCTAACATGAAGGTGTGCAGGGCCTCAGCAGGCGCAGTACCAGGGGGAGTACCAGACGCACTAGCACCTAGAGCAGCAGCGGCTATACCTGGGTCAGGCGGCACAGACCAGTAACAGTCACCCTCAGCACTAAAAGACAAAGCATACATGGCAGAGATAATAACATTAAAGTCTAGGTCAAAGATGGCAACTCCCGACCTAAGCAACTCCGCCAAGCGAGGGCGCTCGACGTCATCACCAAACTCAGTGCGCCAGGCGTCGTTAAGGCGGGCAAAGCAGCGGCGCTCAGTGTGAAACCGCCCGCATGCCTTGCCCGCACGGGCACCCGTGCGAATGACATACGGGCAGGTCTCACTACCCTCGCCCGCCCCACGCTGAACCAACCGCTCACGGAGCTGCTGAGGCGTCTGAGTCTCGCTCCGACGCTGCTGCTGCTGGCCCCGACCGCCACCAGGGCCTCCACGCTGAGGTCCAGACCGACTACCACTGGTCCCACCGCCTCCACTGCCGCCACCCCCTCCGCTGCCTCCACCGCCGCCACCACCTCCACCGCCTCCGCCTCCTCTACCGCTGCCCCCACTGCCACGCCCACTGCCACCTCCACCACCACCGCTGCCTCCTCCACTACCCCGGCCACCCTTGCCCTTGCTGTTGCGGCGCTTCGTACTAGTCGAAGCAGCACCGACGTCCTCAGGAACAGAGACGTCTGCAGCAGCAGCAGAGGCGAAGGAGGAGGAAAGGGGGGAGGGGGAGCACCCCTCAAAGAAAGGTGAGCGCGGGGTGCCACGAGCAGCACCTACAACAACTGCACTAGTCTCAGCTGCGAGGAGATGCTCTTGTACGCTCGATACTTGCCGAGAATGTCATCGAACCTGTCACGCAATCACATGAAACCGGGCGACCATTAGTGACTCTGACATCGTCATCAACACTCGGCCACAGGGTATCCGACTTACCGTGTTTTTGGAAGGTACGCGCCCCGTGCCCATATCACCATCCACATCCTTGTCGGCAAAATCTTGACCTCCTCCCACACCTTCCTCCACTTCTCCAACTCGGTTTCCTCCAAGCCGGTGAGCTCGGCCATGAGGACCTTGCTGACGATGTACACAATTGAGTGCAGGTACGTCAACTCCATCTTGTCGCGCGACTTGCCGATGTATCGATTAGCGCCGAGCACCTTAATATCGCCCACCCACCCTAAACCGTCGCCCGAGTTGTCATGGCGGATGCCATGACCCTTCCGCCCTTTCTCCTTCTCCTTCTCCTCCTTCTCCTTCTCCTTCTCCTTCTCCTTCTCCTTCTCCTTCTTCTTCTCCTTCTCCTTCTCCGCTGCCTTCTCCTCCTTCTCTGCCGCCTTCTCCTTCCCTTTCTTCGCCGACGTACCCTCGGCAACCGACTTCTCCTCCGCCTTCTCCTTCCCTTTCTCCGCCGACTTCTCCTTCGCCTTCTCCATCCCTGTCTCGGCCGACATCTCCTTCGTCGCCGACATCGCCCGTATTTTCCTCTGAGAGCTCGCCCTCCCTTTCCCTGTGTCGGCCTTCCCCTTCTGTTTTGACTCTCCCTCGCCGACAGCATCGATGGTCGTCTTTGGCTCCGCTGAACCACCAAGGGGACTCGAAGAGGGCTCCACATGCGCCGTGTCCGAGATGGCCAGAGCAGGGGGGTGCCCGGGGCGTTTTACCACTTCCAACAGGTTCTGGATGGCAGAAATGTCGGCGTCGTTGTGACCTTTCGACGCATGTGCAGGGTCAACGGCTCCGCCGCCAGTGGCTAGCGCTGCCCTCACGCCCTTCTCCGCCGCCACGTTCACAGACGTCGGCGTCGCGCTTGAGCTGGCTTCCGGCTGAGTCTGTGTTGGCACTGCCGCACTACGTGCGCCTAGCCGGGCGCGAAGCAATGCGGACTTTGGGTCCGCAGGAGGACGGGCGGCGACTAGAGGCGCGGTAGGTGGGGCACTGGGCGTTGTGGCGGCGACCTGCGGAGTGACCGAGCGACGTGCTGTTTCGGCGGGGGCAGCATCGACCAAGGGAGGCTGCTGTACGTCCTTGCGATGGGCCTCCATGCGGTGGAGCATTTCCCTGAGCGCGTTCGCCGCTGCGGGCACCTTAGTGGCGGACAGACCATCGCGGTTAGCCGCAGCATCCTTTGCGTCGCCCTTGGTGGCAGATGGGTCTACTGGAGCTGGAGTAGCCGCAAGGGCCGGCCCATCGTTGTTGGCGGCTGACGGGCCAACCGGCGCGCTGCTAGCCGCAGGGGGTTTTACGCGGAATCGACGTGGTCCCCGCCACCCCGACGGACGGTCCCTTGACGGTTCTGGCGCCGCCATCTATCGCCGTTTCAGCGGTTGGGATCTCCTTGTCGCTCAAGCCTTTCCCGCCGCTCGCCAGACCATGTGGCTTCTCGACAGGGCGAGGCTATTGGTCCAGTGTCTTGAGCGGCAACCTCGTCGGCATGGCCCCCATCTGCACTCCCGATTCCATCGCCCTTGCTGTGTGACCTTATCAACTTGGCCCCGTTCTTCTTTAGCTAGTCGACCACGCTCTGACCTCAAGTCCGCGAGCTGCCTGGACCCACCGCGCCAACAACGCGGCTCCCATCGGCTCCCTTGCTCCGCTTCACGCTCCCCGCATCATCTCCGCCGCCCGCCCTATTCTGGCCCTGCTTGTCGGCCTCCCTTCGTTGCGCGGGATTGGCGTCATTGGCCGACGGCGACGACCCACGCTGACCAGGCGTCACATTGCCGATCACCTCGGTCATGAGCTTTAACCCGGACGCAACAAACGACTGCTGGGTGGCCTCCGTCACCGCCTTCAACACGTCCGCCTTGAACAACTTCATGAGCTCGTCCGGGAAGGCTGGCATGGGCTGTGGCGGGGGCGGCGGCGGAACGGCGATGGTGCGAGTTACCGCGGCGGCAATGTTGGTCTGTGCGGCGGCTAGGTGCTTCGAGTCCTCCAAACCCAGCTTCGCATCGTCCACCACCACTTCCAAGTGGTTGGCCAAGGCGGTGACCGCTTTTGCGCGTTCAACTGCCATACTTCCCTCCGGACCGTCGATTTCCCCCAACCACGTCGACGCCTGTTCCGCGAAGGACTTCATCGCCTTCCACGATTCGTCCATGTGGTTGGTGATGTTGTCCGTGATGGTTGTCGACACGGCTGACGTCGCATCTAGCAGCCGTTTTGCCGCATTATGGTCAGAGACGGCGACCTGGTCGGCCAACGACTGAAGCTTGTCGAGGAGTCCACGTATCCCCAATGCAAACCTGTCCACCCGACCCCTTTCCTCTCTGTGCGTCTTCTCCAGACGGGCATTTTCTGCAGTCAACCGCCTGTTCTCCTGTCGCAGCTGCTCGACGACGTCCAGCGGTGCCTGCCGACCAGATGCGGCGGAAACGGGATGATCGCGTGCCGCCTTCTTCACCCTAGACCGCTCCCCTCCGGCCTTCCCTGCGGTGGTCTCGGTAGGCCCGTCCACGCCCGTCAGCTTCGTGGCCGCGACATTGTCCCCTTCTCCAATGGCCTCGAGGTCGACAGCTTCCTTCGCGTCGCCAACCACATCGCCGACCACAACCTTCTCACTCCCCCCGCGAGCCACCTCCATGCCGAATCTCTCCTCGTTGGCATCCTCCCCTCCCTCGTTCACAACATCCGCCGACCTCCCACCCGTTTCCGCCGCTCCCTCTACGTACTCCACCTCCATTTCCTCCAACTCCCACTCCACCTCATCCTCCTGCTCCCCCTCTTACTGCTTCTCCGCCTCCTCCACCTCCTCCTCCTCCTCCTCCTCCTCCTCCTCCTCCTCCTCCTCCTCCACCTCCTCACGATCCTCATGGTCCTCCTCTTCCTGATCCTCGTTATCATCATGATGGATGTCCTCGTCCTGGTGCTTCTCCACGGTCCCAGTCACCGCCTAACCTGCCTCCTCATCTTCCTTGTCGACGCCGCCTCCAGGCTCTCCGATCGAAGTCCCGCGCGCATCATCGACCTACTGCTTGGGATGCCGCAGCGGCCACTTCGGCGTCGTCATCACAGGCGTCGGCAGCAACTCCGACATGGCCCGACCGTTTGAGAGCGACGTGCTCCTTGACAAATGTTATCATCCCATTCCGCAGCCCCTTCAACCCCGAAACGTTGACCTTGTCCATGCTGGTCACACTACGACGGAGGGCGCCGGTCAGGAGATCCATCATCCTCACCACCCAGCACAACGCGCTCATTGCTAGCAGGCCAGAACCCGCGTCCCCGTCCCGGACGCCGTCGGGCACTTTCTGCATACAACAGTTCAGAGCGCAAGGATGAGCACCACGTTCGGCAATCGCATCGCGCAGGGATGACACACTATAGGACGGTAAATCGTTCGGAACTCACATCTCGAACAGGTTGATCGCAGTCGGTGAGCCTGTCCTCCACCTCTTCATCGGAAGGCTTCGCCCACTCCCACTTCCTACCATCGCGCCCAAGCTCGGCCAGGACCGCCGCCCGGAAAAACCTGAAGCAACATGGCACAGATTGTCGGTAAGCATGGTTTACGCTACGCGGCGAAATTGCATGCGTCGTCGACTACACTATCGAGCTCACTTTAGCACGCGGATTGCCTTGTCGCGGTGCCACTGCTTCACAATCTGCGGGTCAACGTGCCGGATCGAGGTCCTGATCTTCTCCCCCCCGGCCTTCAACAAGTTGTCGGGGTACAGGATGACACCGATGCTGCAATGTGCTCCTGGAAGCGGTGCGATGCTGCACAGGCAAGGCACGACGACGTCGTTCAGAACAGAGCACCGACATAGGATGCAACACACATCATGACGACTTCGAACCAGCTCACCTCGAAGTCAGGGGGATAACCGCTATGTCGGCACTGAAAACCGTCGCAAAGCATGTGTGGTCCGCCCGACCCATTGTCGCCCGACGCCGGCCGAGTCCTATCGACCACAATCGCATGTTGGCCGGCGCCGCTCGAGTCCATGCGTGCCTGCACGCATGCATGGGTATTGGAAGTGAGTGAGGATGTGCACGACACGACGGTGGATACGTTGGTTTAGGAACCGCCAACTGACGGGGATGGCAATAGTACGACGATGCATCACCCTCGCGACGTTGTAATCAATGGAGTCGACCGATGCGGGCCTAAACCCTGTGCCGACACCGACCTACAGTAGATAACCCTGAATCCTAAAGTTGGCGTCAACGTGAACTGAATTAAACCCTAAACTCGTAGCGCCGCCCTAGATATGGGACAACCCTAACACCGACGCTGCGTCGACCAGCAAGGTATGTAAAGGTCGACGCCGACATCCCCATACGGAGACTCACTTGAGGCCGAATCCCAAGCAACGGGCGTTGAACTCTAGCCTATGGTCTACGAGGACGGCGTAGTCGTGTTCCTCGAGCTTGGCAGTGAGTCCACTACCGAGGTCGAGATACAGAGGGAAGTCCTGCGAAGTTGGCGCTGCTTCGCCGGCTTTCGTGTCGGCCTCCATGGCGGGGAAGGGAAGTGACTACAGGCTAAGGGACGAGAATGTGGGAGTAATGCTGAAAGAGAAACGAGATGCCGAAAATGAGGAGCGATGCCTCCTTCCACCAAGAAAAGGGAGTCGGTGCCCCACAGGCCGGTTGAGGCATTGCCCAGGGTTTGTGGTGCCTAGCTCGGCAGGGTTTGGCGGGCTGCATGCACAACTGACACAAGTGCTCCTTCGTCGACGAGCCAGCACGTTGACTTTGCGTCCTATGGCTTCGCTCAGCGAAGGGACGCAATTTCGCATGCGCGCGGTGCGACGTTTCGGCCGACACGTGTCGACTCCACAGCGGTTCGCGAAAACCCTGCGTCGCGATGCGAGCAATCCAATTTCGCCGGGTTCGAAATTTCGCATGCACCCGATGCGAACCCGCGTGCGATCACATGGCGTCACCGCAAAAGGTCGCGAAATTGTCGAGCGTCCCGAGGGGAGCACCCGAATTTTGCATGGCCCTCGCCTGCCCGTCCGGGCAGGTCGCGAGGGTCACTAGGACGTCGCAGGCAGCAGGCACGGAAGGGCTGCCTTCGCGCGAGGGTTACTTTCCCTCGCGCGAGGGCTCGCCAGCTCGCCGCCCCCAGCCGGTAACGTGGGGCGCTGTTCAACCACGCAGGGGTTTGCGGGGCGGCGGTCGTGCGCTCGGCCCCGCCCTGGGCCAGGCTGGCGGGCCTGCACGCACGTCAGTTCCCCGCCTCGTCAGGCCCGGCTCTGACGACCCCCTCTGACGACACTGTCAAATCGGTTCCGACGACTGAATTGCGCTGGGATGTTCGGATGTGTCACGACAAGAATCGTCAATTCGATGTCTTCAAATATTTCGTCGCGGTTTCTGGTCTACAACAACTGGTTCGCCCTTAAAGAATTCGGGGCACGTCACACCTGGGTTTCGACATCGAGTTTCCACACCGACGCAATTTCACCTGGCCTTTTACGCTGAACGGTTTTCTCAGTGAGACTTAACACCTGACTTCTGTTGGTTCTCATCTCGGCGCAGCTGCAGGAAATTTTATGCTGTGTCTTCTTGGAGGTGGGGAAAAAGGGCTTTGCACTATTTCTTTCCTCGGCGTTTTCTCGAGTTTCTTCTTGACTTTGTTAGGACGCGTCAGCACAACGGACGATCGCGATCACACCGACAAGATCAACGGCCTTTGCAACATCGCGATTGAGTTTCGCGTCATCAGCTTCCCTCCAAAATCGCGTCAGCTTTCGACTGTCAGATCTACACCTGCTCGATCAATTTGGGCCAGTTCATCGTCGACCGTCAGATCGATACTGACTTCATCGAACGGCCTCAATTCCAACCTTTTATTCAAACTCGCCCAAGGCATTTCAGCCGTCGGATTCAGCTGAAGAGGAAATCTACGGCATCCTCGCTAGTGTGGGGTCTGTTTTCAGAACAGGGCTGCCTTATTTAGAATATGGGAGAGTGTAAGGATTTACAAATCCTTACTGAGGCTCTTGTTAGCGAGGCCATCCCGAGGGTCATGCGACGAACCTGTTGGGCCTATTTCGTCGCACCGAACCACCCCCGAGTCGGCCTCCGCTCCAATCGCAACATCACCGAGCCATCCCTTTCCAAAACCCCCCGCCTAGCTAGCCTTTCCTCTATTTAGTCGTGCCACTTTCATTGCATCTCGTTATTCACATTGAGGAATCCATCATTCTCGTTATTCGATATTCTGCCCACTCTGCAAGTTGATTCATAACAGAGGGTATCAATTGTGACCCCTCCTGAACGTGGGGAGAGGAGCACTGCATCAACTTGATTGATTGGACAAGCACCAACTCACTCCCAGTCCTTGAGTGGGCAAACACACGCGAACCATACTGAACGCAGGCCGAACGATTTTTCTTGGTGTTACAACTCACATGTTCAGAAAGTTAGTAGCCGACCGGCATTACCAGTTAGCGCTTTTCGTGCGTCAGAGAGTCGGTGTGTAGACAAACTATTAGACACATCGTCATCGACATACCATCAATCACAATCCATCAGGCAACTCCGGAACTACAAGCTGGGAGGGCAGATTCCAAACTCCCTTAGCAGCCTCAGGAGGCTCATTTATCTGTACGTGCTCGTATTCGTTGCTGCAGGGAAATGGCCTCCACTTTCAGCCCACAGCACCTCACTTTCTTTTCGCCATCTCTTCTCCAGCCCACCCCTCCCTCCTCCCTCATTTCCCTCCTTCTTCCCTCCCCCCTTACCCACATATTGCCTCCCTCTAAACCCGTTGCCCTATTTTTATTTCTTCCCCCCCCTTTCTCTCTATCCCTAGCCCGCTTACCTCCTCCAATCCCCTGTACCTCACTCTCGTGAGTGTTCCTCTTTTTGCGAAGTGTCGTTTTGGCCTAACTAAGTGGCCAGCTGTCTAACCATGTGGTTGGCTAAGTTGGCCTTACCAACTAACCGAGCCGAGGCTCGGCTCGTATAACCAACCTTAGGAATTCAAATCGTGCTGGTCAAATTGGAGTAAAAATAAGCTTCCTGTCTGGTTCTTTTTAGTTTGTTGACTAATTTCTGATCCTCCCATCGCTAGGCCCATACTTCTGCACAGCACCATGCTTTTCCAAAACCTTGATTAGTTCAATCCAATCCCTTGAGTATCCACCATTATTATGCTTTATCGAGTAGTACTCGATAGACATGAGCAATGATCGAACTCCAATGTGTTCCTTTCAAACTCTTTTGAACACTTTTTCCAAAAAGTGGTGTTCGATGTCTGCCCATGGGGGCGAACAGGTAATTGTTCGGCCTGAACACGACGTGTTTGGTTCGCACAGTCCTCCTCCCCCCTCCACAGCCCCTCCCCTCCCCCTCCACTTCCCCCAACCCCCCTCCACAGTCCCCTCCAGGTCCTGCCCCGAGCCCCTCCCCCTCCAGTGTCGTTGAGCTTCATCCTCGACCTGGATATGTCGAACACTCGAACATGTTTGATGTTCGACGTGCCTCGTCAACAGCAACCGAACACTCGAACATGTTCGCCCCGAACACTTAGATGTTCGGCCAAACATTTTTTGCCACAAAAACCAACATTCTATTTGCCCATTTGCTCATGTCTACTACTTGAGAAGAACCCATTTTTGCCACTAGAGGCTCGTGCCAGACGGCTTGAGGCTGGGTAGCTTGTAGCCGGCTTGACCAGCTCCTAGCTCAACCGGAATGGCCCATTTGCGAGCCGCGCAAAAGTCA